TTTGTAATGTCCATGTATATCACATCTGAATTTTGTTTATATTTTAATATTTCCATGATATTGTCATACTGGTCGAGTAATTGCAAAAGACAAAATCTTCCTGCTCTTCATCCATGTTGACCTCGGTTGTGAAGTTCATTGTTCTCCATGAAATTAAAGTTTTGACTATTGATCAATCTTCAAAAACTTGATTTATGTCATGTCCATTAACTTAGGTAATTATCGAGAGAAGGAGCTAAACCTGGAAAACTATTCAGCACCATGAATTGACTCAGTATCAGTTAACACAGGTACTGTACCTGACAGTGGTTCCAGTGTTTGAACCCTCATCACGGCCCTTGTGGATTTGTTCATTTGATGTATCACGCTATTGTGATTTTTGTGTGTATAGGGTCGTAAGCCGGTGGAACAGCCTACCCGCCGAAGTTGTAAACGCAAAAACTCTGCTGGGTTTTAAAATACAGCTGAAAAAGATCATCGGGACAAATGGGGAGACAGTTGACAAGCCGCTGGCTTCTTTTCGTCATCGAGGTCACTAGTATTAGTGGCTCTCATGAATATTCAGGTAGGTAAATAATTTGGGTGAGTAGCCCTCGTAGCCCTGGGCGAGTTAGTGTAAACAAACTCTCGTCGCCCCTATATCAACAACAACAAAGTCACGTGGAGGCGAAATAATAATAAATAAATAAATATGTTTATTCAGGTAAGGTACATACATACAAGTGATGTTACATTAATGGATTGATATATAGATAGAGCTAGTACATACAATGCCTAAAGCCACTATTACGCAATGCGTTTCGGGCAAGAAAAACATTAATATCTAGAACTTAATACTAATTGAGCATAAAGAATAAAAAGTGTTGAAAACAAATACAAATAAAGATAAAAAAAAGGGGGAACATGACTGAAAAAGCAGCACAAATACAATAGGTTGACAAACAGTGTTGATTAAAAAAAAAAATAATAATAAAATAACAGACATGGGTTGACAATAAAGGAGTGAGGTGGGTTACAGGGAATTTATTAGGTAGTGTTTAGTTTTTATCTTAAACTGGTTGAGAGAGGTACAGTCTTTAACATGGTTGGGAAGGTCATTCCACATTCTGGGTCCCTTGATTTGTAGAGCATTTCTAGTTTGATTAAGTCGTACTCTAGGAATATCAAAACTGTATTTATTCCTGGTGTGGTGCTCATGGGTTCTGTTACAACCTTCAATGAAGCTTTTGAGGTCAGGATTGGCATTACAGTTCAGCGTTTTATATATGTATAATACACAAGAGAGAATGTGCAGTGACTTAATATCTAACATATTCAGAGATTTGAGTAAGGGTACCGAGTGATGTCTGGGGCCAGAGTTGGATATTGTCCTAATAGCAGCTTTGTGTTGGGTAATAAGAGGACGTAAATGATTTTGGGTAGTAGAACCCCAAGCACAAATACCATAGTTGAGGTATGGATAGATGAGGGAGTAATAGAGAGTAACCAGGGCAGGGCGGGGTGCATAATATCTGATCTTGGAAAGAATGCCAACAGTTTTTGAAACTTTTTTTGATATATTTAGAATGTGACCCTGGAAATTCAGCTTGTGGTCGATAAGAACGCCAAGGAATTTGCCATCTAATTTGTTACAAATTTGGGTATCGTTTATTTTGAGATTTATCTGATTAGTGGATTTATTGCCAAACAGAATATAAAACGTTTTGTCAATGTTAAGGGTGAGTTTGTTGGCAGTTAGCCAAAGATGGACTTTCTCTAGCTCAGTATTTACTGTGGCATTTAGAGCAAGGGGGTCAGGACTGGAGTAAATGAAGGATGTGTCGTCAGCAAATAGAATTGGTTTGAGGTGTTGGGAGGCATTTGGAAGGTCATTAATGTAGATGAGAAAGAGGAGAGGGCCAAGTATGCTGCCCTGAGGAACACCAATGTTGATGGGTAGGGTGGGAGAAATTGTATTATTCACAGAAACATACTGGAGCCTGTCAGTAAGATAAGATTTGAGGTATTGCAGGGAGTGTCCTCTGACTCCATAATGATGTAATTTAAGAAGAAGGTTTTGATGGTTGACAGTGTCAAAAGCCTTACGCAGGTCCACAAATAACCCAACAGGAAACTCCTTTTTATCAAGAGCTGCGTGAATTAAGTTAATCATACTAATAAGTGCATCGTTAGTGCTTTTTTTGGGTCTGAAGCCATATTGACAAGAGCTAAGTCAGATCAAATCGATCAGATCAAGAGCTAAATCGGATCAAACTTACTGCACCTACTATAAAGAAGAACATGAAGAAGGGTAAACTTCTCGTATATGACAAAGATTAGTAAGAACATTAAAGTAACACTTAACATAGAAAAGACCTACTACATCTTATTTGGAAGCAAATCTACAAATGCAATTCAGCTTCAGATAAACAATGTAAATATTAGTAATAAAAATGATGGAAAGTTTCTTGGCCTATTCCTAGACAAGAGACTCAACTTCAGCACCCACATACAACACATAACTAAGGAAGTCACTAAAACAGTTGGTATACTCTCTAAAATCAGATATTATGTACCTAACTCTGCTCTCATCTCTCTATATTATGCACTAATCTATCCCTATCTTAATTATGGTATCTGTGCATGGGGTTCAACCACTGCAAACCACCTCAAGTCCATCATCACCCAGCAAAAATCTGCTATCAGAATAATAACAAATTCTGCTTTCAGACAACACTCAGCCCCTCTTGTTTAACTCCCTAAACATGCTAAACATAATCTCACTCCACAAATTCTCTTGTGTCATCTGCATTTACAAAACCCTTTTCTTAAATGCAAATCCTGCTCTGAAACTCTCCCTGGACAGATGTAATAGGACTCATTATCACCACACCAGAAATAAATATCTCTTTGATATCCCCATAGTCAAACTTAATCTGTGTAAACACTCTATGCAAATAAAGGGACCCAGTCTATGGAACTCACTCCCTATTGAATTGAAAAAGCTGTCCAACTTTTGTGTCATTCAAAAACAAAACAAAAAAGTACCTAATTTCATCTTCATAGTTTTTTACCTTGTTGCTTAAAATTGCACTGTATCTATTGCTACCCAATCTCCCAATTTTTATGTACCCAATCCGAACAACTTTACCATTGTGATCATTGCTGTCTTCTTATATGTGCTATCAATTTGCTGTATGGTGCCTATTAATCTTTGTTTAAATTACCAATCAAGCTGTCAATGTAATCAATCAGAGCTTTAACATACCAATGTGCTTTAATATACTTACTAATCTCTCTCATCTCATTTTTTTCTTGCAATGTATCTGTTATCATTTTATTAATTCTGATAGAATTTACCTACTTAAAATTATCTGTTAGATTAAAGACCTGCCCGAAACGCTGCGCATACTAGTGGCTTTACAAGATTGTAAATACCATGCTATGTATTCTCACAAACCCAATGTACCCTCTTGTATATAAATAAATAAATAAATAAATAAATAAAATAAATATTAAAATTTGAGGGTTATCAACAGGTATATTGTAGCATAATTTGAGGATTATTTCAAGGTATAATGCAGTAAAATATGCATTCAATATAACAACTATGATATAAAGTAATATAAAGGGAGCCGGTCGGCCGAGCGGACAGCACGCTTGACTTGTGATCCTGTGGTCCCAGGTTCGATCCTGGGTGCCGGCGAGAAACAGTGGGCAGAGTTTCTTTCACCCTATGCCCCTGTTACCTAGCAGTAAAATAGGTACCTGGGTGTTAGTCAGCTGTCACAGGCTACTTCCTGGGGGTGGAGGCCTGGTCGAGGACTGGGCCGCGGGGACACTAAAGCCCCAAAATCATCTCAAGATAACCTCAAGATAAAGTGATAGCTATGATTACAATGGTGAAGTAGTTACTAGTCTTACTCCACACCCACCCAACTGGGTGGCAGCTTTACAGTCATGTGCTCCACACCCACCCAACTGGGCGGCAGCTTTACAGTCATGTGCTCCACACCCACCCAACTGGGCGGCAGCTTACAGAATATGCTCCACACCTACCCAAATGGACGGCAGCTTTACAGCCATGTGCTCCACACCTACCCAACTGGACGGCAGCTTTACAGTCATGTGCTCCACACCCACCCAACTGGGCGGCAGCTTTACAGTCATGTGCTCCACACCCACCCAACTGGGCGGCAGCTTTACAGTCATGTGCTCCACACCCACCCAACTGGGCGGCAGCTTTACAGACATATGTCCACACCTACCCAAATGGACGGCAGCTTTACAGCCATGTGCTCCACACCTACCCAACTGGACGGCAGCTTTACAGTCATGTGCTCCACACCCACCCAACTGGGCGGCAGCTTTACAGTCATGTGCTCCACACCCACCCAACTGGGCGGCAGCATTACAGTCATGTGCTCCACACCCACCCAACTGGGCGGCAGCTTTACAGTCAAGTGCATGCATTACTTACAGTAAGCAAATTTTGGATTCTTCGCTAAGATTTCGGGCAGCACATCATTATGAATGAAGTGAGTTGGTTAAGATTTTGCAGGTGTACCAGTGTTATTAAATTAAATTAAGAAGGAATAAGACAGAAAATCATTGTTGGTGCTACAACGGATGGCAAATTTAAGAGATGTACATTATTGAGGCTGTAATTAGTGGGAAGTGTGTATGTAGCCCCCTTACTGAAACTACTTAGGCTTGGCCAGAGAGTATTAACTTAGTAGCATACATGGTGAATAAAGAGGATTAGCATGTATTAACGATTGAATAGAGATAGAAACTAGTGAGATTTAATTGCTATTTACAGGAAATAAATGTTGAGGAAAGGTCTATACAAAACAACACTACCTGCTTTATAATGTTTTTTTTTTTTTTTTTGGTTATAAAGAAATCATCTGCATTCGTAGGGTATATTTGTCTACTCTATACAACCATAGTAAGGTATATAAATCCTAAATTGCTATGTGGGTTTTGCCTTATTGATTTAATTTGTCCTTTAGGATATAACTGCAGGACAGGAAAAAGCAAGTGATGAGACAGCATTTTCACCAGATGAAAAAGGTGTCGCTTGTGAAACCATCCCATCACCTGAGGCCCGAAAACAGTTTGGTAAGACATCAACAAAACACACTTTTCCCTGTCGTACCTAGTAGCCAGAACGCACTTCTCAGCCTACTATGCAAGGCCAGATTTGCCTAATAAGCCAAGTTTTCCTGAATTAATATATTTTCTCTAATTTTTTTCTTATGAAACGATAAAGCTACCCATTTCATTATGTTTGAGGTCAATTTTTTTTATTGGAGTTAAAATTAACGTAGATATATGACCGAACCTAACCAACCCTACCTAACCTAACCTAACCTATCTCTATAGGTTAGGTTAGGTTAGGTAGCGGAAAAAGTTAGGTTAGGTTAGGTTAGGTAGGTTAGGTAGTCGAAAAACAATTAATTCATGAAAACCTGGCTTATTAGGCAAATAGGGCCTTGCATAGTAGGCTGAGAAGTGTGTTCTGGCTACTAGGTACGACATATATATATATATATATATATATATATATATATATATATATATATATATATATATATATATATATATATGTGTGTGTGTGTGTGTGTGTATATCACGAAAATAAACACGTGATTAAGAATGTGACAATGTCAGACCACGGAGGAAAAATGAAACAGGAAATTCCTTAAGTACTTTCGTATATTAAATACATCTTCAGAAGGTCTTCGACCTTCTGAAGATGTATTTAATATACGAAAGTACTTAAGGAAATTTCCTGTTTCATTTTTCCTCCGTGGTCTGACATTGTCATATATATATATATATATATATATATATATATATATATATATATATATATATATATATATATATATATATATATATATATTATGTATGAGGTCAATTTTTTTTATTGGAGTTAAAATTAACGTAGATATATGACCGAACTAACCAACCTACCTAACCTAACCTAACTATATATTATAGGTTAGGTTAGGTTATAGCCAAAAAAAGTTAGGTTAGGTTAGGTTAGGTAGGTAGGTAGACGAAAAACATTAATTCATGAAAACTTGGCTTATTAGGCAAATTGGGCCTTGCATAGTAGGCTGAGAAGTTCGTTCTGGCTACTAGGTACACATATATATATTATATATATTTATAGTATATATATATATATATATATATATATATATATATATATATATATATATATATTATATATATATATATATATATATATATATATATATATATATGTCGTACCTAGTAGCCAGAACGCACTTCTCAGCCTACTATGCAAGCCCGATTTGCCTAATAAGGCAAGTTTTCATGAATTAATTTTTTTTCGACTACCTAACCTAATTTTTTCGGCTACCTAACCTAACCTAACCTATAAAGATAGGTTAGGTTAGGTTAGGTAGGGTTGGTTAGGTTCGGTCATATATCTACGTTAATTTTAACTCCAATAAAAAAAATTGACCTCATACATAATGAAATGGGTAGCTTTATCATTTCATAAGAAAAAAATTAGAGAAAATATATTAATTCAGGAAAACTTGGCTTATTAGGCAAATCGGGCCTTGCATAGTAGGCTGAGAAGTGCGTTCTGGCTACTAGGTACGACATATATATATATATATATATATATATATATATATATATATATATATATTATATATATATTATATATATATATATATATATATATATATAATATATATATATATATATATATATATATATATTATATATATATACATTATATATATATAATATAATATATATATATAAATGTGACATTGTCACATTCTTAATCACGTGTTTATGTCGTTTTATATATATATATATATATATATATAATATTAAAATATATATATATATATTATATATATATATATATATATATATTATATATATATATATATATATATATATATATAATATATGTATGTTGTACCTAGTAGCCAGAATGCAGTACTCGACCTTACTATGCAAGGCCCGATTTGCCTAATAAGTCAAAGTTTTCCTGAATTTATATATTTTTCAACAATTTTTTCATATGAAATGACAAAGCTATACATTTCATGATGTATGAGATAAATTTTTTTTGTTTACATTCGATATAACAAACACAGTCTCTGAGAAGGGTGTCGACGAAATACAGTGCAGACTTGTTATGCAATTCCCTTGGGAATCTCCGCCAGCAGACTTTAAGATTATGGGTTATTGAAGAAAAAAGAACCAGACAAATCCTCATCTGCTACATAATATTACACAGATGCATATAGAAGCAAACTAGGCATCCGACAGCTTCACTACTTCACAGATGGATCAGTAGACCAGCAGGGACAAGAAACCGGAGCTGTAGTTAAAGCAGGAAACTCTGTAAATAGTTGGAGCTCTCAAAATGGGTGTTCGACTTTACAAATAGAGATGCTAGCCATTCAAAAGGCTTTGGAACATGCTCTTGCTGAACACCAACAAACATGTTATCATACATACAGATTCGAGAACCGCCACTGAAACCTTGCAACAAGAAAACACATATGTGATAACATACATCTGATCACAAATGTCATATCATTAATGTAAACACTCAAACGACATGGCCGAAGGGTACTTATCAACTGGGTGCCAAGTCATGTGGGAATAATAGGAAATGACATTTGTAGACGAAGCTGCAAAATTTGCACTAAGAGATGAAATGTAGACATGTACATACCACAGAGCCTATCACAGATTAAGAAAGTAAATTAGAAACAGAGCAATGCAAAAGATGTACAGTGACCACAACACAGCAGTTGCAACATCAGGATCTGCGGGTTGGTACAAGAATTCAACCAACTACGAGACACTTAGTTTGATGAAAGGGAGCTAGTAGAGCAACAGAAGTACACTTTAATCGCATCAGGCTTGGATACCCATGTGCATGAGAAATAGGCTTGCAGGTTTCCGGAAGATGAGGAAATGTCAGCACTGTAAGAAATGCCCGACAGACTGCTGGAACATTATCTAACACAGTGCACAGTCACAAACCCATTAAGATTTCAACTTAAGATTCACAGAGCAGTTGTTAAACACATATGGGAAGAAGTTGTTAAACACATATGGCAAAATCTTACTGAAGCGACCATACGAGTCATAAATACTCATACTCCGCCCAATTAAAACAGAAACAAGCAACACTTAGTGGGCCAGCCCAGAGGCTTACCTTGAGGTTACCTTGAGGTGCTTCCGGGGCTTAGCGTCCCCGCGGCCCGGTCGTCGACCAGGCCTCCTGGTTGCTGGACTGATCAACCAGGCTGTGTGGACGCGGCTGCTCGCAGCCTGACGTATGAGTCACAGCCTGGTTGATCAGGTATCCTTTGGAGAGGCTTAGGGCCCGCGCAGGAATATCCCTGCAAAAATAAAAAACAAGTTGATAATTTGTGTATCATATGCCTTCTACAGTTTCATTCAAATTTGGGCTTGATACGACAACTACAACCAGCCCTCCGATCGTCAGTATAATTTTCTAATACAATTCCAGTCACCTCGGTTGAACCAGCTTGCACCGCAGTGCTTCTTTAGCTGCCGTGACTACGCCCGAAACTTCCAAGGATGGAAGCAAGCTTATTTGCCATGGATTTACCTTCACCAGCAGCCAATCATTCAAACCAGAGGCTCAACAGAAGCTTCCAGGAGATGAAAAAAAGAAGGAGTCCATATTAAAAAATTCAGATCATCCAGAACCCATATTTGCTGGGTTTTCATTTGGTTCAAGTGCAGTTAATTCTGCAACCACAAGTTGTGCCTTCAGTACTTTTAAAGCTGAAGTTAGAAAGGAAGGAGATAAGACTGGTGAATGATGAGTGAAAGTTTAACGAATGAATTACAAATTATCTTGATTTGTAACTAAGGAGGGTTAGTGTGTAGTTTGAAAGATTAAGATTCCTTTCAAGTTAAGTAAACTTGTTATGAATTAACTGTTAAAAAATAGAGTAGATGTTGGAGAAAGTGTAGGTGTTTGGAGGTGGCAGTGATAGAATTCATATGATAATACCATCTATAGGTATTATCACCAGTCTGATAGACTGGTGATACCTCCCTCAATTGGCTAAATTCAGGGCATATTTAGTTGTATGTATTTATTTGCTTTATTTGTTGTTTATATTCGTAATTTGTTTATTTGTTTGTTTTGTGCCGAGATACAACAACTACAGAAAAATTGTATTCATACAATTGCAAGGTCAATACAAGTATGTTACTTTCTTTAACTACTTTCTGTAATATTTTCTTATTATGTGCATTATAATTCATCAGGGTAGATCTTTGGATGTAATGTGCACTGATGTTCAAAATTGCATATTTCAGAAGAAAATGGAGGGCCATCTAGAACAATGCTGTCCGCAGGTCTTGCAAGCAACACTATTGTGCGTTCCAACCTTTTCGCTACTTCAAAAGCGGTGAGTTACACATGTTTCGTTTAAATGGGGCTGATACTAAGTGAAAAAGTTGTCTTGTTTCCATTATTTTCACTTGAATTTAGATAAATAATCCCTTCATATTATTCTTGTGGGTGTGGCATTACGGTAAATGGAATATTTAATGTATTGGTAAAATACTGTTAACGTATTACAATACATTGCCAGTATTGAATATAAAATATTGAGGGACGGCAAAATGGGGGAGTGGGGGGGGGGTGGCGGGAAATATGTCTGAGATGAGCAAGAACTCATGAGCATGAAGTCATTGAAGAAACCTAGATTTGTAGTTAAGAGCAAGCATGATTACAGTAGAATGTTACATCCAGACTATTTTGTACGGGGAGAAAAACTCGCGCCTAGTGGTGGGTTACAATTTATATCCAATGTTTCGTCATTATCATGAAATGACGAGCCCAGAGTTTCCGTAACGATTGGTGAATAAGACTAAGCTAAGGCTAAGTTTAAACGCCCTGCAAACCTGCCGACAGAACTACTGCAAGCGTAGAAGGCAACAAATGCCGAGTAATGTAATTGTCATAGAAGGCAGTTTTTTTATTATTATTATTTTTCTACCACAGTACGTGGCCACACATTTACAATGCTAACCAGCATATATACATTTTCTTCTGTCCTCCATGGACAGGGTGAGAGATTTGTCAAACATACAGTTCAGGGATTTATTGAACAATCAACCACAGAAGGTGATTGTAGTGTTTTTAAAATGCTAGGCTAAGCTAACATACGTAAATACATAAATACACAGATTTATGTATAAGGTGATAGACATATGCCAGAACAACGAATCAATGGGTATAAATTGGGTATGAAAATATAAGAATGGAAGTAACTGCAGAAGGCCTATTGACCTATACTTCCTCTTGCTTCTTCTATGTTTGGTTCCGGGTCGTGAAGTGGGTAGAATATAGTTGTGCATTAATTGGCTATTGATTGCTGGTGTTGACTTCTTGATGTGTAGTGCTTCGCTGATGTCGTGTCTCCGGCTATCGCTGTATCTATCGATGATTTCTGTGTTGTTGTTAAGATTTCTCTGGTGATGGTCTAGTTTTGAGAAGAGATTATATGTTCCTTGATGGATCCCTGTTGTTTGTGCATAGTTAATCGCCTAGAAAGAGACGTTGTTGTCTTGCCTATATACTGAGTTCTTTGGGGTTACAGTACCCAAGTGGGCATGTGAAGGCATAGACGACGTTGGTTTCCTTCAGGGCGTTTTGTTTGGTGTCTGGGAAGTTTTTCATGAGTAGGTTGGCTGTTTTTTTGCTTTTGTAGTAAATTGTTAATTGTATTTTCTGATTTTTGTCCTAGTCAACAATGGCTTCTTTAACGGGTTGGTTGAAGACACCATAAAAAAGAAAGGTGAAACGCCATGGAACCTCTGAAGAGTCAACTAACACAACACTTGTTAGACTGTTTTACAGGAACTTCTTTTCGACGGCTCATAAACAGAGGAAAAGGGTCTTGAAAGACATTATTGATAGGAAAGTTATCCCTACAGACAAAAATCAGAAAATAGTAATAGAAATAGTAAATGACACAATTATCATTACGAGGACTGTTTCTAACTAATAGTTTTCCAACAGTATTTTTGTAATTAATTCCATTGATGGTGTTATCTCAGAATTCCTTGAGTTTATCACATTCCATTATATAATGACGTTATATTATATTATTATAATTTTATATATTATTTATAAATTCAGAAAAATAAAAATGACAACTATGAGTCGTAATGATTTCTTGTTCAAAGCAATCGAGGAGAGTTCTTATGCCCCGGTAAGTAGCATGTGACGTTATTTATTTTATTTGTCTATTCTTTGTCATTTTCTTTGCATTCTGGCATACTTTTGTTTATTTTTATTTTATTGCATGTAAGTACAAGTTTCTTAAGTGACAAACTAAACGCTATGTGTGTTAGTGTGTTTGCAAGAATGTAAAAATACCAATATTGTGTAATCTCGCAAAACTATTGTACCTTCTTGTAAATAAATAAATAAAATAAATAATAAATAAATAAATAATAAATAAATGAAATATTTTTATTTTAATAAGTATTATATAAGTATTTATTTATAAATAAATATATAAATAAATACATTTTTCGACGCAGCGGGCATTCCCCCTCTGGGACCGCGATACTGAGGCACTGGAAGAGAAAACTTGCCGCTCTACGGATCTCTTGTAGTGTCAATGAGCCTGGAACCGGCCTGGAACTTAACAAACCTTTTTGCACTCTCTCCCCATGGGCCTAGGGTCTCAGATCGTATTGGAACGAAGTTGTACCGGTGATCTAATTCCCCTGAACCTGGTTGACTTGTATCCCTCTCTGTATGTGTATATATATATATATATATATATTATATATATATATATATATATATATATATATATATATATATACATATACATACATTACATACATACATACATACATACATACATACATACATACATACATACATACATACATACATACATACACGAAGAACGAAATTCAATGAGAACCAGCTAGACTCGACCTGATATTCACCACTGATGGTCGAGAATAGGAAGTAAATTTGGAAGCCCCATGGGAATGAGTGGCCACCGCATAATGATATTTGAGTATCTGTTGGTGGTTGGGATAACGTATCCAAGGAAGGGATCGGAACAAGAAAAGGTTAAATTACCGAAGAGGAAAATATGATGAGATGAGGAACTTCCTAATGGGACGTTATGCCTCTTATGTGTAGTGGAAGCATGTTGCACAGTGCAGGAGATGAGTCACAATAACGTGGCTACTAAATTCCATTCTCAATCGACTTGAGAATGGTCCGGGACGGACCGAAACGTCGTCGTCCCTTCACCTTCTAGTGTGTGGTCTGGTCAACATGTTGAACAGTCTCGGACCTCTAATGTTGATAGAGTTCTCTCTCAGAATACCTATTGCACCTCTGCTTTTCAATGGGGGTATTCTGCACATCCTGCCATGCCTTCTGGTCTCATATGGTGTTATTTCTGTGTTCAGGTTTGGGACCAGCCCCTCTAATATTTTCACGTGTAAATTATTATGTATCTCCTCCCGTCTGGGCTCAAGAGAATACAGATTTAGGCATTTTAGGCAATAATTTAGATGTTTTTTACTGAGTGGATTCTAGCAGTAAAGGAACTCTGCAGGTCAGCAATTTATCAAGCTTTGAAAGAGCTGTCATTGCGCAACAGTATTTCACTCTAGAGAGCACTAGCGTCTTGAAAAATGTAATATTGGTATAGCATCTCTGGTTTGAAATGTTCGTGTACTCCAACTTAATTATTTTTGCAGTTGTCACAACTACTTTATTATATTCTTAAAAGTAAGGTCTTCCGACATGAGTACACCCCCAAATCCTTTACATTGCTTTTTTCGTTTTATGGTATGATTTAAGTGCGTTTTTACGTGGTCTCCGTTTTTATTTTTTCATTTTTTTCCGTAACGCAGGAGCTAGAAACTTATCTTCATTAAATACCATATTATTATCTGCAGCCCATTGAAAGACCGATTTACATCTGATTGGAGGTTTGCTGTGCTCTCTATGTTGCCTACTCTCATTAAAATCCTAGTGTCATCTGCAAAGGAAAATACGGTACTATAGATTGTGTCCTTGTCTATGTCCGATGTGACAATGAGAAAATGTACTTGAGCATATACAGTACCCTGGGAGACTGAGCTCTTCACGGTTGGTGGTCCTTATTTTATTTTGTTGACATTGGGTTCTGTTAGTCAGGAATTGTAGTTCTATCCGCCAATTTTCCGGTAATTCCCTTTTGAACCCATTTTGTGTGCAATAACATCATGATCACATTTGTCGAAGGATTTTGCGAATCCGTGTAAATTACATCACCATTTTGCTTGTCTTCCATGGCATCTAAGCTATGTCATAGTGGTCCTGCAACTGTGATAGGCAAGAGCACTCTGTTCTGAAACCATATTGTCAAGGGTTATGGAGATGCTGTGATTCCATGTATTTTATGATCTTCTCAGCACTCTTTCAAAAGATTTTTATGAAGTATGATGTTAGCGCTATCGGTCTGTAAATTTTGTCTCTGCCTTATTTCCTCCTTTATGAAGTGGTGTTATCTCTGCTGTTTTCAGTATGTCAGGGATAACACCAGTATCTAGGTTTTATCTCCAAAGAATGTGAAGGCCTGCGATAATGACTTTATAGTTCTTATGAATATGGAGTTCCAAGATTCAGGGCCTGGTGCAGAGTGCATGGGCATATTGTCTATGCTTCTTCTAGTGTGTGGGTCTGGTCAACATACTTCAGCCACGTTATTGTGACTCATCGCTGGCACATGGCTTCTTTAAAATTCAGTGGAGATAGGGTGACATCTAATATATGATTTGATGTTGTATCATATCCATGACAAATTCGTGAGTGTGACTCTCAAGTTGTTCCGTGATTCGATTTTGTATTATCATTGTTAACATCTTTATTGACAAAATTAATTACAATTTTGCCTAATCTGAGGATTTCAATTAAGCCTTATTAACGTGAAGATAATGCTGGTATTCACTGTCAGAGCAGGACAGTCATACACAAGTCAATAAGTCTAAACTGTAGGCTGAAGCACATGTATATCATGGTTACAATCAATGTTTTAATGTATGGATATGGTGAAAACAAACTTTCTATTGTACACTGCCACACAAGGGCAGGGATGGGTTCATAAGTGATGCAGCTTAGAAGTAATATAAATAAAATTGTTCTTCATTCTTTAAAATGGACAAGCAAATTTTGGATAAATTGTTAGAATGTCGTCCAGAACACCTGATGGTTAATGAATGTTTACCACAGTTGGTGGTACAAGAGGCCAGAAGGTCTAAAGTCTTTTACGGTTTCACATTCAACAATATAGTGTTCTAGGGAATGCATTAAAGGTTTATCACAGAGTTTACAATCTTAGTACTCTGGTAGTGGCTCAGCCTCACTAACCTGCCAGATGTGTCTATAGCCAAGGCGAATTCACGGATGACTACATCACATTGCTTGGTTCGTGTTACTGTGCTGACTGACCATACAAATACACCATTATTACAAAACTTGTCCATAACTTTTAATACTGCAGCTTTCAGGTCTCTGGGCATTTCTTATCTTCTTCTAAATCTGAATAATTTATTTAATTGTATGTTTCTAATATTGCATTAGATAGTTCAGAGCCATAATCAATGTTTTCTTTCCTGCAAGCCTCATTGGCCAATCGATCTACAAAGTCATGTTTTCCAACTCCAACATGGGATGGGATTCACACAAATTTTTATACATAGTTATTATCATTGGCAAAAATTACATTCCATTTAATATTACAAGCTACTTCAGACATACATTGTGATGGGTTATTTAAGGACTGCAGAGCACTTTTAGAGTCACAGAATATCACTCCATCACCATTGAGCTTAAGGTACTACGTGGCTAGATAAATACCCATAGCTCGGTCTGTGTCGTACTTGCCCAGTTTTCAGTCTCTGTGTACTAGAGTGATCATTTCATTCCCTTTATATACTGCACATGCACAACTTGTTCTACCAGTGCCCTAACTGCACAGAACCATCAGTAAAGGCGTAGGATTCAGTCGGTTTGAGATTTTGAAGATGACTGTCTAAGCTTCTAATGTTATACATCTCATAGTTTCAGTTATACAGTTGTTTCACGCTGATGGTTTCTTCAGCGTGTTTAGTGGCTCGCTGAAAACAGAGTCGTAATGATTCCTCAGTATTTCGCTCATTTCTTTGTTGTCATCTGTGAAAGTTCCTCTCCCCTTTCTCAGGGACCCGATACTACATGTAGTTTGTTATCTTGATTTTGCATAGGAGAAAAATATTTTGGATTTCTCTCTATTTCACTGATGGCCTTTTGCTATCTTTGTCTCTTTTGGGTTTTGGATGATTCTTCTAGCGCTAGTTTCAATTGTTTCTATTTCTCTACCTAGCCTTCTTCGTCATTCTTCAGATATTAGATATATATAAATAGATGTAATATGATTCAGATATATCATTCTTCAGATTCAGATAATTACTTACTATTCTCTCTCATCTCATTTTTTTTCTTGCAATGTATCTGTTATCATTTTTAATTAATGCTGCTAGAATTGACCTACTTAAAATTATCTGTTAGAATAAGGACCTGCCCGAAACGCTGCGCGTACTAGTGGCTTTACAAGATTGTAAATACTATGCTATGTATTCTCTCTAACCCAATGTACCTTCTTGTATAAATAAATAAATAAATAAATATGGTGTAACTCAAGTGTTTCCGCGATTCGTTTTCTTCGTCTATAGGGAAACCCGTTCCCGTTCCAATCTGAATCTCTTCCTCTTGTTTCTTAGGGGTATAGGTTTGAGCATATTTCTAATGCTGCTGAACTTATTTTTCCAGGTACTGGATCAGGTTGTATTTTCTAGCTGTTCTTCCCAGCTTATTTCTGTGCGGTCTTAGTTTATTTTCTAGCAGTTAATCTGCTAAAATAACACAGTGCTGCACTGATACTCTTTTTCCTTAATTTTTAAGGAAAATATTAGCTTTTCACAAAATTTTAGTTGCAAGTTAAAATTTATTAATGCCTTATTTTAGTATTTTCAAGATTCATATATATTACAATGTTTTGGAGAACTTTTCTGAAATGAGCATTATATTAATTTTAATGTAATTTAAAAATTTTCAGATTACCTTTGGGGAGCTGCAAAATGGGACTCGTTCCTCAGATAACCAGTGATATTTTGAGGGGTAATGTGCCACATATACAACGGGATGAGGCCCCACCAGTTGTGAGGCGGCGTACTACGCCTGCTACCTGCTGCTGGTGTAAGGTAAGTCTTCGTCCATGCCCTGATCCCACCCCCCCCCCCGACCTGCTGCTGGTGTAAGGTCCATGCCCTGATCCCCCCCCCCCCCGGCCGCATACCTCCTTACTTCATGTCGCTCCAACTCTGATGCCGTTTGGCTTATTTTATTTGTTATTATATTCAAGTTGTACAATTCACATATTGTTTTACCTCTTGCATTAAATACTGCAAATTAGGTTAGTTCCCCGCAAAGGTTAACTACAGTTATTCATCAATTAACGGGTATACATTACCATTTCGTACAGTTAATTTAGTTATAATGCCACTTATAGTAAACCTAATAATTTAATTATCATCTGCTTCATTTATCTCACTGTAAGCCTTATAATTTACTTATTATCTATTTCCAATTATATTATTAAATTCAGCATTTACTTACATAACATATTTAGCCCAGCACGAGTATCATTCGCCTCCCAAAATTACAAGTACGTTTTAAATTGCATTACAGTTTAGTGACAAAATAAACTGTATACATATCACTGGTTTTACATAA